GTTCTTTACAGTAAATGAAACAAATAGTAACATGTATCTACAGCAGACAGTAACAATTTATGATCTGGGATCTCTCCAAGAGCTCTGTGGAAAAAAACGGATTTAAAAAACCGTTTAAAAAAAAAATTGTGTTATATCATTTGTTTTAGATTATATTATTTGTACTGTTCAGTTCACAAGATTTTCTGACTGAAGTTGTTTCAATGTTCTTGGATCTTAAAGTTGGCTGCAGAAAACAGTAACACATTACTTGTGTCCTTGTTGCATAAAGAGTTGGTTTGCTGTCATATTTGTTTGTTTATCAACCGATCACTCCGATAATACAAACAAGCAAATTCAGAAAAGGATGTAAATAAAAGAAATGCAAGGGAGAATCTTATTTCCATAAAAAACACTGACCTTAGAGAACTCGGCTGAACAAGGATTTGTAAGCTGTGGAGGAGGACTCACATACGTCCATTTTTCTTGACTTACTATTCACATATGGGAGAATATGATATGTAGGGATTTGTTTGGGAATGTAGCAAATGATAAAGAATTTGATGTAATTCTTCTGACTGTAATACATATATATTTATAGCGTGTAATGATTTGTATGGACACGTAGAAACTTATGTATATATCTTGCTTATCAAGTGTGTATTCTTTGTTCAGTGAAGAAATCACAATGTTTTTTTCTAACATAATCCTGTGAAATGAATATATATTTTCAAATTTTTAAGCCAGTGAACCTGTTACCTTTTTTTGTTCTTTATCTTTCTGTTCCCATTTATCTTCCTGTGATATTCATTTTTTAATCCTTGAATATCCAGTCCATACTTTCTTTGTTTTCCTCTTAGATGTTCTTTTGTGGCCTTCTTCTTCTTTCTTTGTTCACCCATAAAAGTGTGAATAGTTTGTTGTGTTGTGATTTACATCTATGTTGTGTTTACATTTCAAGTCCAGCACATTTGATTTCAGAAGACCCTTTATTTGTTATCTTTTAGGACATGCTTGTTAAGCAACAGTGGGTTCATTCTCCCACCTACCCCCTGCCATACCTCCCAAATGAGGCCCCACAACCCACTTAGGGGAAGTTCTCATCGTCCAATACCTTGGAACAGTCTATCCTGGTCTCTGTATTATCTGTACATGAGTACATTGTGTTTTATTGTGTGTATAAGTACCTGTGTGAGGGGATATATATATATATATATATAATATATATATATATATATATATATATATATATATATATATATATATATATATATATATTATAATGTATATATATATGTATATGTAATGCCTAGCTGGTAAGACAGCAGTCAAACATGAAACAATCAAATGTGACCACAAGTTCACAAAAAGGCCTGGTCCACATAGAGACCAATATTGCAGTATTGTAAACCAACACACAATCTATTTTGTTGGAAAATTAATCGTTTTCTTTACTGACTTACATCTAAATGGAAAGTATTTACCTTTATATTAACAAGGTCATCATAACAAAGTTACTGTTATCTTTAACAGTCATTTCCACTACTCACTGTATGAGATGTGTATTTTGCTAGTCTAAGAACATATCATCCACACACTTGCTTACTGCTTCAGTTTTTCTGTGTGGAGGAAAGAATACAATTTTTATTGATGACCAAATTTTCAGCCAGCAGCAAATTTTTGGAGCAAATGATAGACTCTTTGCTTGGTGTGGGTAAAATTTCTGCTTAGTTCTGCTTTTAGCAGAAGCATTCCTTCAAACTATGTCATTTTTTCCTTCATAACTGTCTGGATTTAACCAGCGCGACATTTATTATAGCCACACCACACAGTACATCTGCATCCCACACACACATGCTTGCATGCACACACACACACACCCCCCCACACATACACGAGTACATCTACATCACATACACATACAGTACATCTACATCACATACACACACACACACACACACATACAGTACATCTACATCACACACACACACACACACATATACAGTACATCTACATAATATAAATATTTATACACAGACATATATACATACATAACATACCTATACAGCGCATCTACATCACATACAGTACATCTACATCGCATACAGCACATACGTATACAGTAATCATCACACAATGTACAGTGAGTGCATCAACATCTAGATTATTTATAAACAAGAAAATTACTTTCAGATATCAACTTCGAGTTTAAATATAAACAGTTATTTTTAAATATTGTTGTGATACCTGCATTGATCATATTAACATTGAAATTGATGCTACAATAATATATTGACACACGTGGTGTACCTCAATATAAGTAATATCACCATACACCCACAGATGCTAAATAGTACACTATAGAGTAAGTATGAACTAGACATTCACAGTAAATAAGTTTACTGTTGGCTGCATGTAATATTATCGTTGAAATCAGCTCACTATATCAAGATAAAAATCACATTAGGTTTGTGTAAATTCATCTTTTAACATGCCAGGATATTAATCTACTTGTTATGTACCACAAATTCCTAACAGCAGCTGTAATTACTACACACGTACGATTTCTTAATCATTAAGTATAAAATAATTCAGTTTATTTGTGGGTTAAGTTTTATTTGATTTAATTCTAAAGCAAAAGTTAAGTGTAAGAATAATAAGACTGGCCTTAGAAAAAAATGATGAAATATAATCGTAACGGAGCATATTTGTTTCAACCGAAAAGGTTAATCTGTTATATATAGTTCTAAGAGTTCAGCATACAAGAGAATCTAAACAAGTCTACAGGCAGCAGTAGGATGGAACCCATTTAAATGTCCTAATGGCATATGGCCCAGAAACGACTGGAAGAACATATCGTATATGTCAGCTATACAGGTCCATTTATATAAAAAACCAATGGATGTTGTAGCAATTAGACTTCATCAGCAGAACAATAATGACAATCAGAAAATAACACACACGAATATGTAATTTTTTTAATTATGTAAACAAATTTCCTATGTGGGTTCCAGGGAAAATGGGAAAAAACAATAGACCCACTGCCTTTCCCAACAAGTATGTCATAAAAGTCAACTAATTTGGGCCTCCTTCAAAGTCAGAGTTCGTCAGCCCGAGTGGCAAGGAACAATCAGCTGCACACAAATAAGCCAGTAAAACAGATGTACACTCAAAACTTTTAGCCCTGGCACAAAGCTTTTAAGTCCAAATGGATGAACAGCCAGAACTTTCTCGTGGAGCTAAACAGTCGGTGAACAAAGAAGAAGAAGAAGAATTTAAGCTGGGTTAAAAACACACCTAGCACTACAACTGCTGAGAATTGACCCCACACCTAGCACTACAACTGCTGAGAATTGACCCCACACCTAGCACTACAACTGCTGAGAATTGACCCCACACCTAGCACTATAACTGCTGAGAATTGACCCCACACCTAGCACTACAACTGCTGAGAATTGACCCCACACCTAGCACTATAACTGCTGAGAATTGACCCCACACCTAGCACTATAACTGCTGAGAATTGACCCCACACCTAGCACTATAACTGCTGAGAATTGACCCCACACCTAACACTAAAACTGCTGAGAATTGACCCCACACCTAACACTAAAACTGCTGAGAATTGACCCCACACCTAACACTAAAACTGCTGAGAATTGACCCCACACCTAACACTAAAACTGCTGAGAATTGACCCCACACCTAACACTATAACTGCTGAGAATTGACCCCACACCTAACACTATAACTGCTGAGAATTGACCCCACACCTAACACTAAAACTGCTGAGAATTGACCCCACACCTAACACTAAAACTGCTGAGAATTGACCCCACACCTAACACTAAAACTGCTGAGAATTGACCCCACACCTAACACTAAAACTGCTGAGAATTGACCCCACACCTAACACTATAACTGCTGAGAATTGACCCCACACCTAACACTATAACTGCTGAGAATTGACCCCACACCTAACACTAAAACTGCTGAGAATTGACCCCACACCTAACACTAAAACTGCTGAGAATTGACCCCACACCTAACACTAAAACTGCTGAGAATTGACCCCACACCTAACACTAAAACTGCTGAGCATTGACCCCACACCTAGCACTATAACTGCTGAGAATTGACCCCACACCTAACACTATAACTGCTGAGCATTGAACCTCATTGCAGAAGATGGGTAAGTTTTAATCACTGTTTTATAAAGTCCACATCATAGGTGGATAAGTTCTGGTTCTAAAGTAATTTTACTATATTTGAGGCTTAAATATTCTTGTATTGTTTTGTTATATTCATTCATTTCCTAGACCCATTATTTCTCTTTGAGTTTTCCAAGTGTTCACAGAAACTTCCCACCAGAGTCATATTGGAAACAGCTACGCTGTATTCCAAGAAGACAGTTTCAGGGTACACTGCATGCACTAACACAATAACCATGTCATTGTCTTCTAACCTTTAGTATTGTTAGGGATGTCAAGAGTGTTAAGCACACGACATCATAGTGCAGTTGTACACAGTAATATCATAATAACAGTTTAAAGATTGCTGCCCCACTTTTGACATAAACCACAGAGGAGCTGCATTATGTTATCTGTGTGTGTTCTTTTTTTAATCAGTGAAGGAATGAAACCTATAGAATTTAATCAGCTAATGGAGTTTCAGTATGGTGATTCATACCTGTCTGTCCAGCAAGTGTATCAGTGGAGAAGGAAGTTTCATTTTGATGTTGCTATGTTCTTTTGCACCTTGATATCACATGCTTAACACTCTTGATTTCCTTAATAACAATATTGTCACATTACACGACAGTGACATAGCCATTATAATTTCGATCACACTTTTAGGGTTTTGATTGAAAAACCCCTAGTATACTGTCATTTACCAATATGTGAAATCTGGTCATGAAAAATGTGACATCAGGCATGTCTACAATTTGCTTCACAGAACCTTTGCTGAACAATTCCTCCAGTTCAGACATGATTGCTCTCAGTGACAACAAGAACATCCAGAATGGGGGTGCTAAGATAGAAAATGGTGGAGCTGCGACCATCCAGTTTGAGATTCAAACAACAAAGCCATCCTCCATGTCGTTTTGGAAAGCTTGTTTGCTGCCGGGGGTTATTCCAGTAAGTTGGAAGAAAAGCGCTAATGGTTGGTAACTGAGAAACACATGCACACTCACAGACACAAACACTCATATACACTTTATAAGTGTTATCTCCCTACACACACTGCCAGTTTTGTCGGTGCCAGTTAACTACAAAACAGGACGTCTAAATGGCCTAGACAAAGATAGTTAAAAAGGAATGAAGAGAGAACTGATTATGTCCATGACATTTGCTTCACTTTATCAATGGATGCTCAGGCACTGTCAGAGATAACTGTTTAAAAATATTGAGAAAAGATATAAAACCAAATAAAAAGTATGTAGCAAGCTTAACAAAAAGGAGAAAAAAGAGATATAAAACCAAACGAAAAGTATGTCAGCAAGCTGTACAAAAAGGAGGAAGAAGAGATATAAAACTGAACTAAAAGTATGTCGGCAAGCCTCACAAAAGGGAGAAAGAAGAGATATAAAACTGAACAAAAAGTATGTCAGCAAGCCTCACAAAAGGGAGAAATAAGGACATTTTGTTGCTGCAAAAACTGTGGTCTGTGCACAATTTTCAGTGAATAACTGCAGAAATTACTCTGATTATTTAATATATTGACTGCTGGCCACTAGGACATGGACCGCCAGGGAAAAGTGCACTGGAGATTTATCAAGGGGCACTTTGCCAAGAAGGGGATGTAAATTGTGTTTCTGAATGCTAGAGAATGGGGAGAGATGGTGTTTGTCAAAAAAGTCTTGAGAGCTCACTTTTATAACATCCATCTTTAAATCTGGATTTTGGTGCACACAACGCCAGAGGTAGATGAACAACCAGACTTTTCCACCAGAGTTTACAGCCAGTGAACGTGAAGAAGAAGAAGAGGAAGAAAAGAACAGTTGGTACATTCTGTTGTGGTTTACAGCCAGGCTGTGAGATCTGCACCTTACACTCAACAAATCTGATTTCATCAAATCCAGTATGTCACCTTTAACAGCATGCATGTTAAGAAGTAGTTGGTCTATGTTTTTGTTTACCCTAACATGCGACCCCATGTGCTGCCTTGGGACAATGAATTATTTGACCTACAACAGTCACAACATACACTAGGATAGAGCTTGTGTTTGTAATGTTGATTGCTGAGGGGGGAGGGGGGATAGCTAAAAGACTGCATTATCTGGTATCCGTTTGCACTTTGAAGCCAGTCCGGTGTATGTTTATTGAGAGATCATGTCTATGGCACAGCCAGCTGTAGTGATATGGATTACTGGACTCCTTAGTTCTTCTATATTACTGATTTAATATTAGCATGCTGGTAACTCGAAAAAGCTGAGCCAGCTTCAGGACAGTAAATTAATTTTACACTGTTATTGTTCCATTGTTTTCCCTTCCTACTGTATGGTAAGCCTGTGTAACACTGTCATTGTTCCATTGTTTTTCCTTCCTACTGTATTGGTAAGCCTGTGTAACACTGTCATTGTTCCATTGTTTTTCCTTCCTACTGTATTGGTAAGCCTGTGTAACACTGTCATTGTTCCATTGTTTTCCCTTCCTACTGTATTGGTAAGCCTGTGTAACACTGTCATTGTTCCATTGTTTTTCCTTCCTACTGTATGGTAAGCCTGTGTAACACTGTCATTGTTCCATTGTTTTCCCTTCCTACTGTATTGGTAAGCCTGTGTAACACTGTCATTGTTCCATTGTTTTCCCTTCCTACAGTATTGGTTAGCCTGTGTAACACTGTCATTGTTCCATTGTTTTCCCTTCCTACAGTATTGGTTAGCCTGTGTAACACTGTCATTGTTCCATTGTTTTTCCTTCCTACTGTATGGTAAGCCTGTGTAACACTGTCATTGTTCCATTGTTTTCCCTTCCTACAGTATTCATTAGCCTATGCATTTCTGAAACTCGTCAACTACTCATTCTTCTTCTGGCTGCCATTTTATTTGAACAATGCTCTGGGCTGGGTGGAGCATGATGCTGACAAGCTGTCCACTGTTTATGATGTGGCTGGGATTGTAGGTAGGAACTGCTATTGTTTCCTCTGTTGTTTTAAACTGTTTGAACTGTAGCAAAACAAAGAAGAGATTAAGAGACATGTTTATTCTAGGCTCATGTATCTATTTTTTAAATTGATTTTATTTAAATGTTATCTCTATCTGAAAGTGGCATAATGAATAGAATCAGGACAGATCACACTGTCAAATCAGTTTTAAAGATCTGCCAAGTCAAGTAAACTTTATAATTCTGTAAAAATTTTTTTTGCAAAAACGAATATAAGGCTCTCCTTTCAACTACGGCCGGTAGACAACAGCAGACGGCCGGTTAGTCGGAGTTCTGTCCCCTGGCTGCAGTGCTGTTACGAACTGGACAGGAGGAAACGAAACAAATGACATAATAACTGTGTGTTGGCGATAGACAGCGTGCACTGCCCTGCTTTAATCATACGGTTAGGGTTTGGGTTAGGGGTAGGGTTAGGGGTAGGGTTTGGGTTAGGTTTAGGGTGTGGGTTAGGGTTAGGGTTAGTGTTGCCGCATCTCGTCTTCGCACAAACTCAAAGAAGCAACCCAAACCCTAACCCTAAACCTAACCCAAACCCTACCCCTAACCCTAACCCAAACCCTAACCTTATGATGACAGGGCACTGCACGCTGTCTATCGCCAACACACAACAAATTATGTCACTTGTTTCGTTCCTCTAATCGCTCCGTAATGCGTCGCAAGAAGCGGTAATTCCCCCGCATGCGTCGCGGTCGCTAATTTGGGGTCGCAGAGCGGGGTCTGCCAGGCATGTCGACCTCACTTTGTGTTCTGATTCGTGCCTTCTCCAGTCCAGGGGACAGAACTCCGACTAACCGGCCATCTACTGTTGTCTACCGGCCATAGTTGAAAGGAGAGCCCAAATATAATATTTATTCTGTAAGAGAAGCACTCATCAAATTGTTTGTTTGTTAAATAATATGCACTCAGTAACATTCAGTAGCTGGGGTCAAAATGCTAATTTCTACATTTTGTGATAAAACTGTCAGTATAATTTTTTCTAGACTCAGAATTGTGGAGATGATAAAATGTACTGGAGCCTCATTAAGTATTATTATTCTTTTTTTTTTTGACAACTCATACAACAAAAGAAATGTTTACAAATCATAGGTTATTTTTTCTTTAACCTGTTTCTGTTTATTTAATTGTATTATTTATCTTTCAGGTGGAACTTTGGTAGGATTTCATTTCTGTAAGTATGCATCAGTCTCAGCCAAGTTGTGTATCTTCTCTCAAAGAATCATTCCTGTCTTATCATCTCCTCTTCTCATTTTATACGTGTGACTTTCTTGGATGTTTGGATCTTTCACTTAACGAATCTTAGTATAACTTTTTTTGGGTTTCACAAATTAAATATGCACTGCATTTTTAAATTATAATGTATTCACCCATCAATTATAGACTGTGTACTGCATTCTTAACCCTACCAGACCGCTGGTCCGGTTTTCCGGGAATTTCTTAACCTGACAATATACCGCTGGCCCTAAATTTTGGCTTTTTGCGTAGTACAGCGAAAAGATGCATCACAGACTAAAAATAACCACCCAATCATTATCAATCCTTCTTGTTAGACATTGCAAATGTCTGCCCGCATGTGTTTGGATTATATTTGTGTTGTTTTACATGGAAAAATTCTGAAAATTCACAGTGAAACAAGCGGCTGATGAACCAAGTTCTAGGCGTTCCACACTCCAACGGTGATCGATACTTTGGTTTATTCAGACTCTGCGGAGTGATAATTTCATAAACAATACGTTCTTGGAGTGATAATTTCGTAAAGAATATGTTCTTGAAGTGACACTGTCAATGAGAGCGCGAATGATGAGGAAAATCTTGAAAATTATATGTCTTGAAATAGATCGATAGTAGGAGAAGCTGGTGTGTCCCTCAAACGGCAATATCTTGTGTTCACTTTGTGAAACAAAGTTGATCCTGATGAGTGGATTCGCACACAAAGGTAAAATATTGGCACTAGAACGAACGAACGAACAAATAAACTTTATTTTTAAAGGGTTAAGAATTGGGCACGCAGGTCCGTCTAACATTCTGCCCTTCGAGGTCTCCCTCCATTCTTACATCATTTCATTCACAGATCAAGTAATATTAAAAGTTAGCAATAGCATCAAAATAAACAATACAAGCACTTTAATGTGCACATTTTTAACTACAGTAAAATGTATTAGTTGTAACAAATCTAAGAAAAATGGGCTCTATTTTTCACATGTGTTTTATCTTCTATGGGGGCATATAATCGGTGCTGAGATAATATTCCAACAGGTTTCGGATTGTATGTATATAAGACTAGTGGTACTTTTTGATTTGGTGTGGTAGATGCGAATCCACAATTGAGCTGCGGAATATTGATAAACTTGTTTTTATAAAGCTCTATCATAGGTTTAGGGATGTGTAATATGTTTAGGCGCTTACTATGCCTTTCATTATATTTAAAAACAACGGCCATAAGTAAAACATGGAGCCTTTTGAGATAATATTTTGTTAGTATATTCGCCTTATTGAAAAGTAGAAGTTCACGAAGGCGGTAGTAGCCTAAGACCTTATCGTTTCGCAGCTCACTGTTCCATGATTGTTTACTAATTAACGCGATTGGTGCACTTTTGCAGTGATGTTGCAGCCGCTTGGTAACAGAGCTGGAAACAGCCTCCCATATTGTCCTAGGAGCAATAATTCTCATATAATGTCTGGGATGTGAAACATATAGAATATCTTTGATTGTGTGTCATCAAGAAAAGTTCTTTAATTTGCAAGCTGGTAAACCTTTCTAGCTGTTTGCTTCACAAGTGTTGTACGTGTGAGTTTGAAGGTTTAGATTTGCATCAATTACCAACCCCAGTGTCTCTTGTGCTCAGTTACATTTTCTACTTGAGTGCCCAAAGTAGGAGTTGAAGTGTTCCTGAGAATTTAAACTGTATAGTTTTTGTCTGGTCGTTAGTAGCATAGATTTGGTTCTATTAATGGTTATTTGCATATGATTTGCACTGCTCCATTTGGACTACATTATTTAATTCTTATTGTAATGACGACTCTAGTACATTACATGTTTGAGCATTTGCACCATATGTCCACAGGGCTCACAGTCGTCTGCGAATAAATCGCAGGACGACGACATACATAAAGGAAGGTCATTTATGTAGATATTGAATAACATTGGGCCGAGAATTGAGCCTTGAGGTACCCCAGTATTTAAGTCAGTGGTCTGTGATAGTGATTTATTGTAACAGATTATTTGTTTTCTATTTTTAACAAAAAGGATTTTATTAACTTTAATAGCCTAGGGTTAAATTTCATTGTTTCTAATTTTCTTATAAGAATATTATGGTCTATCATGTCAAAAGTTTCTTAAAGTCTATAAACACCCCGCCACACATTTTCTCATCATTAACATTCTGGTGCCATTTATCAATCATGTTAGTTAAGGCAGTATGGCAAGAATAGTTTGGTCGAATAAAAGGTAAGCCTATTTTCTACAATGTCTCCAAGTTTCATCATATTCTAGCCACTCGTTTGCATGTAACTAATATTTTTGTATATCATGGTTTTTTCGCGGTAAAGCCCAGGAGCTCAGGTTATAGGGACAGTCAGGTTCAGGGCCTCAGGTCTGGTAGGGTTAAATTACTCATATAATGTCTTACATTCACAAAGCACAGTGTATTCATTCACTGTCCTGTTGTGTCTTTATATGTCACATGGGGCTCACAGTATATTTCTCGTTGTCCTGTTGTGTCATTATATGTCACATGGGGGTCACAGTCTATTTCCCATTGTCCTGTTGTGTCATTATATGTCACATGGGGGTCACAGTCTATTTCCCATTGTCCTGTTGTGTCATTATATGTCACATGAGGCTCACAGTATATTTCCCATTGTTCTGTTGTGTCATTATATGTCACATGGGGGTCACAGTATATTTCCCATTGTTCTGTTGTGTCATTATATGTCACATGGGGGTCACAGTCTATTTCCCATTGTCCTGTTGTGTCATTATATGTCACATGAGGCTCACAGTCTATTTCCCATTGTTCTGTTGTGTCATTATATGTCACATGAGGCTCACAGTATATTTCCCATTGTTCTGTTGTGTCATTATATGTCACATGAGGCTCACAGTATATTTCCCATTGTTCTGTTGTGTCATTATATGTCACATGGGGCTCACAGTATATTTCCCATTGCTCTGTTGTGTCATTATATGTCACATGGGGGTCACAGTATATTTCCCATTGTTCTGTTGTGTCATTATATGTCACATGAGGCTCACAGTATATTTCCCATTGTTCTGTTGTGTCATTATATGTCACATGAGGCTCACAGTATATTTCCCATTGTTCTGTTGTGTCATTATATGTCACATGAGGCTCACAGTCCATTTCCCGTTGTCCTGTTGTGTCATTATATGTCACATGGGGGTCACAGTCTATTTCCCATTGTCCTCTTATGTCATTATATGTCATTTGGGGCTCACAGTCTATTTCCCATTGTCCTCTTATGTCATTATATGTCACATGGGGCTCACAGTCTATTTCCCATTTTTCACTTGTGTCATTATATGTCACATGGGGCTCACAGTCTATTTCCCATTGTCCTCTTATGTCATTATATTTCACATGGGGCTCACAGTCTATTTCCCATTGTCCTCTTGTGTCATTATATGTTTAAGAGGGGTCACAGTCTATTTCCCATTGTCCTCTTGTGTCATTATATGTCACATGGGGCTCACAGTCTATTTCCCATTGTCCTCTTATGTCATTATATGTCACATGGGGCTCACAGTCTATTTCCCATTGTCCTCTTGTGTCATTATATGTCACATGGGGCAAACAGTCTATTTCCCATTGTCCTCTTGTGTCATTATATGTCACATGGGGCTCACAGTCTATTTCCCATTGTCCTCTTGTGTCATTATATGTCACATGGGGCTTACAGTCTATTTCCCATTGTCCTCTTGTGTCATTAAATGTTACATG